GCTTCAACGACCGAAGATCCGTCGGAGCGACCGTAATCCGTCCAGTCGAAGACATGAACGAAGTCTCCTATCACCTGCTTGAAGCGACCGCGGTACATCTATACTTCACGCGTGGGCCCCCTGGCAGTGCGCAGGGTGGTGTCGCTACGAATGGCGCTGGAGGACAGCAACAAGCGGGAGATGGCGGTAACTACGGCGGCGGATATGATCTTGCCGGTTACACTGCGTCGGCGAAGAGGGTGTTCAACCATCTTAAGACCACTCCTCAGTCCAACGAGGGTCTGAATCAGCACGAGATTGCGGCGCAACTTGGTATGGATACAACCGATGTTGCAAAGGCTGGTGATGATCTATTGTCGGGTGGTCTGATTTACACCACTGTTGACGACCAGACCTGGGCCATCCTCGAGGCTGATTAAGCATGGTGTTTGCACGCGCGGGACCAAGTGGATGGGCAAATAAGTAGGGGAGCAACCAAACATGCTGGTAAAACACTAGCACAGGCGTAACGATTCATCATGATATTTCACATACTGCATTGAAAGCATCCGCAAGATACAATCTATTAAACACGATTTACTTCTCTGCATTCGTAGAGAGAAACAGTATGCACGTCGCAACGATCGCACTTGACACCACTGTGAACACGACCTGCGTCTTCCAACCTGTCTGCACAAGCGCCCGCCGCGTGCTGTACCGGGAGACCGTGTTGATGTAGTTCGACAACCCAGACAACATGCACGCTATCGAAAGAAGCCAGAAGACGATTCCCAGTGGCAACGCGAAACGCTTTTCTGTACAGAGTTGTAAGCATGATGTGATGAGACTTTGCTATTGACTTACCAAGAGGAGTGGGCTCCGACTTGAGATGGAACGACATGACGATAGCAACAGACACAATGGCCATGTACACACTAAGCTTCAGCCACGAAAGGAAAGCTGTAGTATTGGTTAGCCATGTCATTTCCTCGTAATTCCATCGACTCCCGGCATACTCCGTTCATTCGCAGCATGATCCCTTGCATCCGAAGACACGTTATCGAACAGCAGCACACCCATCCATGGCCTCTCTCTGAAGGCTACTCGATCGTAGTCATTATTTCTGAACGACGAGTTAATGTTTGAAGAAATTCATGCAAGCTAGGTTGCACGCACTGTTTGACCAAGATAGGCTGGCCTCCAAAGACCTTGTAAAATGGCCGGTACGGCTCGGCTAGGATAGACTCATCTGCATCGCTCATACGCGAAGCATCTCGGAAATCCATGTTTTTCGGATAATATGTAGGACCACTTGGGGTTGCGATGAAAACGCGCTATGGCTAGTGGTATGGGGATGCTTGGTCGGCAGACGAATGAGTGTGCTTGTATGAGACGCCGCACGGACCACTGCCGATGAGGTCACTACTGCATTTGGACATCTCCAGGGTTTGTAAGAGTTGATACCATCAACACAATCAACGTTTATCGCATTTCAGCAAAAATGGGTAACGAGAAAGAGCTAGTTCTTTTTGGTGGTGATAAGTAAGTGTTTGGGTAATGCACTGTCGCTTTGAAGCTAATGCATGCGCGTGCAGAGGTTGGAAAGCTTCGGATTGGACGGACAGTGATGACCGAGTGAGAGGAGGAGCATCTCAGGTAAAACCCATCTCTCAAAATGAAACAAGTAACATGATAGCTAACGTACGAATACCAGTCCTACCTTACCATCAATGGTTCTTCCGCGCGTTTTCACGGCAATCTCGACATCACCGCTCTGGGCGGCGCCGGCTTTGCCAGTCAACGCACTACCGGCGAGGATCGCACCTGGGATCTATCTACCTACGATGGCATTTATCTCGATCTAGGAAAGCATGACGGCAAGAAGTACACACTAACGCTCAAAGACGAGATTCTGCCACTTATGGCAGATGGACGGGAACAATCAACCATCAGCTGGGAGTACGATTTTGAATCGCAGAGCGAGCTTGGGTTGTTCGTGCCATGGCGTGCAATGAAGCCTACGTATCGCGGGAAAGAGAAGAACGATGCAAAGCCATTGGATTTGAAGAACGTCAAGCGGTTTAGCATCATGATGAGAAGGTAAAAATCTGCACCACGCGATCACCAGACTGCGGTAATTGACCATCAGTAGTTTCTTCGGTACCCAAGAAGGCGACTTTTCGCTCACCCTCAACTCGATCAAGGCTGTTGCGCAACCAGACGACATCGAGAGAGGCATCACGAGCGGCGAGAAGGGCACAGGAGTAAGACTTTAACTACGTTACAGTGCTGGATGGTAGCTAACAACGCTACGGCAGGGACAGGAGCCTTGGTCGTGGAAGAACTCCAATCTTGTTGGTCTCGCACTGATTCTGGGTTCTACGTGGGCAATCTCTTGGGGATATTGCTGGTGGAAAGGATATGACATGGGAATCATGAGGTTTGGACGGTGGTGGTCTGTGGTGAAGAAGGATACGTTATAGGTCGAGGGGACGCGATGCGTTGCATGAAGTGTGAGGTCCAGGCCTGACCTTGGGTTGGGGGACGAAATGGACTCCGTTGATTTTACATATCAGTTCCTACACACTTTTCGCGAACAGAAAAATCTGGATGTATCATCAGAGTTGGGAATCGCGGCCCGGAAGATTCTATGTGTGAGAAGCAACTGAGCGCCGCCTGCGGGTGGTGCAAGACCGCCCCATCCTCTACGCAACAAGCTCTCATATCGATGCGTTCAAGTGGTCGGAAATTTTTGTACAGCGATTTGCATCCTTCTTCCTTGTCGGTAATTTATAGAGCGCTATGGCCAGCGGAGGTACTTGAAGAAACGCTTGGCTGTATGTTTGTGAGACCAAGCTTGAGTAATCATCAGCGTATTTGCATGCGCAACGAAGGTATCCCAGAGAATTGGGCCTCTCCTACCCTGGACGGGAGGTTAGAGAATGGGCGTTTATTGGCGCAGAGACAAGAAGTGCGCAAGAAACGTCCCGCGGACTTAGGATGCTTGACTCCGCTAGTGCAGGGAGACCCACTCCAGTGTGGACCATTCAGCCTGTTCAGGGTGAGCTCCTTCCCAGATCAAAGTCGCCTCCACGCCGCAAAGAAGAAGCGTTCCTCTAACGTCGCTGCAAGGTTAGACAAGCATTGATGTTCATGTTACTCGAGATGTTCCGATCCTCCACCTGCACCCCGTGCTCCAGCTTACGGTTGCTGACTATTTTGGCCCCATCGCCACTACATCTCCAATCACCAATTTCTCCGCTGCCAAGCGAGGCACCATGGCCAGACCTTCCCAATTTCGTCGATGATGGGCAAACGTCCGCTCGCGGAAATTCTCAACCAGGCGCTCAGGACCGCAAGGTGGAGAGACCGGGGCGCTTTGAGGCTGCATGAACATGGATTTAGATTGCATTTACTGCAGTAGTGGCAGCCTTGGGGAGAAGATGTTCACTGTCCACAGACACCGCGCAGTGGCTATAAAGAGCGACGGGCGAACGGTGTCAGATAAAGTATCCGCAGGTGTTCCCGTTCGTCTCCTCAGGGTCCTCAATTTGTTTCCGATATTCCTAGCTTGTCGATAATACCGTTTCGCAACCATGCATCTTACGGCTCTTACCCTAGCTTTGGCTACCACCGCCGTCGCGGCGAAGAACTCCACCCAGCCGTACTCGACATGGATGGCTACTTCCTTTTTGTCCAAGGGCCAGAAGGTCGACAACCACTACGTCTCCTCCGTCATTCGTGAAGGTATCCAGAAAGCCGCCGTGACGCAAAACGACACTGCTCTGCTTGAGTATGCCTCGGAGGCGGTCTCGTCCGTTGTCACCTCGAACGGTACCATCAAGGGCTGGAACGCCACTTACTACACATTGGACGATATCCGGTTTGGCAACAACATCCTCTACTTCTGGAACTCGGAAGGACGCAAGGACGAGAAATACGTTGTTGCGGCCAAGGGTCTCCGAGAGCAGCTGAACCGATGGCCGCGCACCCCCACCGGCGGCTTCTGGCACAGGGCCCCGACTTATGAGAACCAGATGTGGTTAGACGGCATCTACATGGCTGATACCTTCTACGCGACCTACACATCGTACTTCGAGCCCAACAACATCACAGCCTGGAACGACATCGAGCTGCAATTCGATCTGATCGAGGAGCACTGCCGAAACGAGACAACCAACCTTCTGTACCACGGCTACAGCGAGGACAAATCGACTGTGTGGGCTGACCCAGAGACCGGTGCTTCCCCATACGTCTGGGACCGTGCTCTAGGATGGTACTTCGTTGCGCTTGTTGAGGTACTAGAGGTCTTCCCCAAGACACACAAGGGCTACACCAAGCTCGTCGACTACTTCGTCACGCTCGCCTCCGGTATCAACGACGTGCAAGACACCAGCGGCGGATGGTGGCTGCTCATGGACCCGGAACTTGCTGGAAGGGAAGGCAACTACATCGAGTCGAGCGCAACCGCCATGTTCACCTACGCGTACATGAAGGGTGTCAGGCTCGGTTTGTTGGAGAAGAAGTACCAGCAGACTGCGTCCAAGGCGTGGGATCTGATGTTGGATGAGTTCATCCAGTACGAGAAGAACGGCACCATCAGCTTCACCGGCACGGTTACTGTGGGAAGTCTGAAGGGCGATGCGTCTTACGAGTACTACACTGGTGTCGAGACCTTGACCAACGATGGTAAGGGTGCTGGTGCATTCATGTACGCCGCCACCGAGATGGAGTTGGCTGGACTGGAGTAAAAGAGCGTATTTAAACTTCGTTGTATATATTATAGGCACCAGAATTGACCCCAAGAGCAAGTTTTCACATGAAGTCGACATAGACTTTGGTTCAGTAAGCACGATCATGGATGCAGCATGTTTGTCGCCGTGACCTCGGAGCCATACGCCACGCTATCCTCATCAAGCCAAAGCGCGCGGCATCTCCCAAATCCCCAGATTCAACAAACAAGATCAACTACACGATGCGAAAGCACAACTTCGGCTTTTGCCATAAGTCGTTATACAAACATGTCTTCCAAGCAAGAAAACTGCCTACGCCGTGATTGCACCTCGGCACGCAGCTGCCGAAAGGCCCGTCACGACTCCAAAAATAACCCGTCGAACGCGGGTCCCCTGAGCAACCAAGTGGAGCCACGAGCCACCGCCTCAGGTCAACAACAGGGCCTTGGAACCAGAACAGGGCAGAGCCATGGCCTCATGGATCTTGCTGGAAGTATCGTGTGACGTGCGCTAAGCCGTTGGCACTGGCTCTGGCACTGGCTCTGGCTCTGCGGATATTTCTTGACCGTTTTATCGTGCCTGTTTGCTAGATCACTAACAAATCTCCGACTACTTACCTGTACATTCCAGTTGCACGAGAGAACGTTGGAAATCGCTGTCAGACTACTACAATACCTACAACCATACCCAAAGTAAGTCTTCCTACATCCTGTATACACCACCTTCCTAACCACCACCCACAGAAACCCCAGCCTGCAAACCTCACCTCCACCTCTCCAAGATGTCGCTCATATCCTCCGCCGCCGCCCCAAGCGCAACAAGCACCTCGTGCACCACAGCCGACTTCTCCGTCTTCCCAACCCAAGACATATTCTGCGGCGTAGGCAGCACAACGGGCGTCGCGTCCAACACGTCCTCCGCACTCAAACAATGCTGCAAAGACGCACCGGTCGAGGAATTCAACGGCTCCTGCGGATACTACTGTCTCAGCTACGAACAGACGGTTGCTGATCTGCGGACTTGCTTCATGGACAACGGGGTCAACCCGAGGGATATCCTTTGCTCGGGGAATAATACTGCGAGTGCGACGGGCACGCCTAGTGGTGGTGCGAGTCGCACGGGCAGTAGTGGTCCGGATGCTACGGGTGAGGATGGGAAGCCGGATACGGGGGCTGCGGTGCATGTGGGTGTTTCGAAGACTGCGGTGGGTATGCTGGGCATGCTTGTCATGTCGGCGTTTGCTGGTGCGCTGTTGTAGGGTACTATCGCGGTGATGATGGATGTCTACGATGTGGTTGCTGCTTTACTTTTCTCGTTGAAGCATAATACCAGATACTTTCTTACTTCCCACATCTCAAGTCTCTTGATTTCATCTACTTGAAAGTTGTTGCAGAAGCGTGGCTTACTCACCATTACAGGTTACAGGCTGTTTCCGTTGTGCCTCCTGCTTACACGAACGACCGCCAATCACCGCTTCGAAGAGACGAGTTTCGCATACAATGGTTGGCATACGCGTGCCTTGGCTGTTATGCATTATTTATCGATCGATGTCTCCGTATGCGGTCTCATCATGCGATTGGACTTCACATAACAGGTCATGGGTATCTATTGCCTACCGACACAGTGGTAATGCAACTTACCCCGCCAGACGTGTAACCGGAGCCTGCATGTAGAAGAGAGCGACCATACGTCTAGTGGAGAAAAGGTATATATGGCGAGGTTCAACGCCCTTTCAGTATGACTTGTGGGTGGGACAACAAAGTGCTTAACCCACATCTGAACCATGGGTACTTTAGCTGCAATAAGCATCGCCATCTCAGTCATAGGACTCTACTACATCCTCAGAATAGGACGTCGAGAAGCCCATCTACCACCCGGTACCTCCCTCCTCATCCCCGATCCCATCCTATCCCCATCTTATCCCAAAGCTAACCCACCCATCTAGGCCCACGTCCCCTCCCCCTCCTCGGCAACGTCCTCGCCATACCCACCAAAAACGCCCAATTCCGATTCACGCAATGGGCCTCCCAATACGGCGACATCTACAGCCTCAAGCTCTTCCACACCACCACCATCGTCCTCAGCTCCCGGCGCCTCGTCCGCGAGCTCATCGACAAACGGGGAACAACATACAGCAGCCGCCCACCCTTCGTCTTTGCAACAAGGTACATCGCGCGGGATCCAGCGAATATGCCTCTAGTCGTCTTCATGCCGTCGGGTGAGAAACTGAGGTTATGCCGCAAGTTACTGGCGCAGTGTTTCAACGAGGCGAAAGTAGAGAAAGAGTACATTGGACTTGTGGAGGCGGAGGCTAGCCAGATGCTGTGTGATTTTATGGAAGAGCCGGAGGAGTTTATGGGGCATACACTGAGGTTCTCGAATAGCATTATCAAGAGTCTGGTCTACGGAACAAGAACGAGACATGCGGAGCAGTTGGAAGAGTACAAGGTTTGGTTTGACAAGTACGTTGCGTTGCTTGAGGTTGGTGCAACACCGCCGGTGGATCTGCTACCGTGGTTGATACATGTGCCGCAGAGTATATGGACTGGACGCTGGAAGAATTGGAAGGACAAGAGTGAGGAGACCAGCAAGGCTGTTAATGCTGCGTTTACGCAGATGGCGGAGCCGGTGTTGGAGAGGAGGAAACGGGGTGTGCGTGCGGCGACTGTATATGACTATGTGCTGGACGAGGGCGAGAAGGGGATTGATCTTACGAGAAGAGATCTAGATGTTTTTGCTGGGTCGCTGATTGATGCTGGGAGTGATACAACGGCGTCTGCTATACGAGTTTTCATTCAGGCGATGGCTAGGTATCCGGATGTTCAGGAACGAGCACACAGACATGTTGGTGAGGTGGTGGGAAGCATGCGGTCGCCCGGGTGGAGCGATGTCGCGAGCTTACCGTATGTCGTGCAGGTTGTCAAGGAGGTCATGCGATGGAGACCTCTTGCGGCCTTGATCATGCGCTCCACTACTGCTGGTATCCTTCACTCCGCTCGGATTGTGGATGAGCCGTGGCTAATGTGAAGCAGATGACACGATTGACGGCTACTTCATCCCGAAGGGCACGACTGTTCTCATGAACGTCTGGGCCTTGAACCATACCCCATCTGATGTTGACACTTGTGAATCCCCAATGTCGGTTTTCAATCCCGATCGCTACGAAACGCGTACGCACACTTCAGCTCAGTATGCAGCGTCTCCCGACATTGCCTCACGAGATCACTTCACGTTCGGCGCTGGTCGTCGTATTTGTCCTGGTATCCATCTTGCTGAGCGCAGTCTTTTCATTGCGATTGTAAAGTTGCTTTGGGCATTCGAGTTCAAAGAGAAGCCTGGGAAGCCTATTGACATCGATCCTGACACGGGGTTTATGGATGGCATTGTGAGGACGCCGAAAGATTTCGAGTGTGAGATACGGGTGAGGGAAAGAAGGCAGGGGGTGCTTGAACGGGAATTTGCCCAGGCGAGGGATGTGTTGGCGAAGTATGAGCTTTGATGGAGTTGTGATGTGATCATCAATAGGATTCGTATCGATGCAATGCTCATAGATTAGTCGAATTTAGTTCTATACAGTGTTTATTTAGTTACGAAGTACATCAAAAGCTTGCTTTGATTTGATGTCTTGCAACTCAGGAGAGTACCTAGGTAGTTAGTGACCAGTTCTGATCAGGGTGGGGGAGTTGCGACGAGGACCTAGAGTTCCATTGGCTGAATCGGAGAATTGTACTTGTAATGGTCTTCGTCGTATAACAAGAGGTGCAATGAGGTATGCGGGTGCAGTGGAGATACGATGTCGGTAGCGCTGCAACAGGAAACATCCCGCAGAAAGAGTGTAGAACCGCATATTATGACGTACATGACAGATCTCGTCTAACCTGCCTCATCCAAAACGTTTCAAAAATGTACAATCCTAAGATCCCATCGCCAACCACACCTGCCTATGCACCTCCGGTAATAGTTGCTTTAGCGTTCCAGCTCTCTACACCCGCGAGCGTAGATCATCGAGACAACTACTCCACAACTAATTTCCCGTTCCTGAACCTGGCTTGCTTCGCTCCGAAATAGCGTACCAAAGTAGACTTACATGCAGCTCGGCTACGACTGCCCATCGTAATTTCAACGTGTGTGACTTCTTGGGACCGAAGAATGTCACGAACCACGGTACGGAAGTGCAAACTTATGTCCGATCGCGGGTAAGTTCCTGGCTAGAGTTCTCGGGCTATAGTCTCGCCGGCGGTTTCCTGCCTTCTACGCGACGTCATGGTCGCGAACGTTACGGAGATTTTAGTTGGGGGTTGGTGTTTCAACTGTCTTGTAAGCCACGCTGAGGACATGACGATAGCGATTCAGGTACCATCTGTCGTATCTAAACGGCTAACGGCACAACGTGTCCTCACCCGTTTCTTTCACATGATTCACAGCAATGAGCAAGAATGTGCCCGACTCACTCGGTCAATCTCCGCGGTACCGTGCCACTTCCCTCAATGCCACTATCACAATCACAACCTTGGAACGCATGAAGGAGCAAAAAGCGGAGGAATTGCACCGAAGCAAAATAAACATAGCCTATCCTACTTGCATGGAGGCTTCGATGCGAAAGAAAAGCAAGCGGGTACAACTGCGGAGCTGGAAGAAGCAGTGTTAAGTACCTAGCACAAGTGTCTGCAGCCGACCATATGCGGGTAGCGGGTACCTCATCCTCCCTCTATGCTTCATCTACATTCCTTTTGCTTGTAGACAACTGCTTTTCTCCTCCCGCGGCTGCAGTGTTATGCAATGCACAAAGAATTCTCCATCACTCACTAATGCATGCAGCGACTGCAAGGAATGATCACTCCTGCATTCCAACGCTTTTCCCACCATCTCACACAGCATCCACCATCCTCTTACTCCATCGCTTCGGCGCATTTCCCTACCATATCGACACGTTCGGCCCGTCACGAAGTAACGGCATCCCCCCTCCAAAAGTTTGGTCCGTTGAGTAATGCCTCTCAAAACCACACCCAACGTCCGCGGGTAAGGAAAATTAGCCCACATCGCTCGCGCCATGCAGGGGCTCAGGGGCTGGCTGGTGCGGCGCAGCTCGGAAGAAGGCGCCAAAAGGAACGACGGGAAAAAGGAAAATAGGGAAGTAGAAAAAGGGAAACGACATAACGATAACGTCACGGGTTTATGCGAACGGTTAGTAGCGAGGTAGAGGGGGTGTGGGTTGCTGCTAGGGACGCCTCCGCGGGGGGAGGAAGGTTGCGCGAAGGGGATTGCCGGGTCTTTGGATCGTGGGTTGGAATGTGGCTGGGCGTGTGGGAATGAGATGAGGATGACGAATGCGGATGTCGATGTAGAGAGTGTAGTTGTTTGGTTAATCGTCAAGATTAGACTGCACGGAAGTGAACGAAGCCCAAGAGGTGTGAACTCATGCCGAAGCATATTGATTCCATTTGCAAGTCTGCATAGCTGCATTCTTCTAGACTTAATGGGGTGTTAATACACCCAGTCCCTATGATTCATTATTCCATTACTCCAGCTGACTCCCGTCAGACAAGACATATCCAAAGACACAGAAGCCACCATGCCCTCCCAGCCTTCGAACAAATGAGAAAAACATACAGAGTGAAAGGAAAAACAATGTACTACGCTGAGCAAAACGACGTTTCGTGATATCCAGTCCTCCGTAAATACCAAGGAATCCGGGGTGTGAGATCAAGTAAACGCTTTTAACTCCTTGGTGGCAACGCCCTGCGCCAAATCGTGATAGTATCCAAGATTGTGTGCCGTATTAAGATTATGCCTCCATGTGTGCCCATGAATGAGAGAGTGAAAGAAATAAAGAGGAAAAGGTATGCCGTGTCGCCATAACCGACTGGCAAAGAATAAAAACGCATCGACGAAAAGTCCGGGTATAGTCAAGAAGCGAAGGTCAACGTTGCGATAAGCATGCTATCAGGATTGAAGCTACTACCCTCTAAAGTCCCCTGGTCCCTGGTTGGCGAAGATGTAGCTCTTGGGCTGGGGTTCGGTCGTTCGCCGTATCAGGTTTCCATGCGGGTCCGTGCCTTGAGGTGGTGTGTACTGGTGTACGAGGAAGTCGGGCATGGCGGAGACTTGGGGCGCGAAGGGAACGTTGTGATGGATGCCACTCAATGACATGTCCTTGTAGTCATCATACATGTTTCCGCCCTGCATGTACTGGACATTGCTTTCATCGCCTTGGGTCTGAGCAGTGTCAGGTAGCGATGGTCGCCTGAAGTGCGAGGGCTTCGGTTGTTGAATCGTAAGATCGGTTGTGGAATGGAAAGCGGCACGCATCTGGGGTTGCTGCATGTATGAATTTCGAGGGAAGTGCTGCTGTGTCGCTGGTGCTGACTGTGGAGGTGTGTCGCGGTACAGAGCGTCGTTGACAAATCGTGATTGTAGATCCATTGATGAAGATGGCGGTGAAGTGCTCTTCGCAATCACGTTTCCAGATTGGTCGTTGGACCAGTTCGCGTGCATGCTCTCTGGGCTGTTGTGATCCGGCATCGCAGAATGCGGTCTTATCACGGCAGCACCACCCCAATAGTTGCCGAAATCTTGTGGTGTCAGTGGAGTTGGTGGTGCTAGACTACCGCCTTGTCCAATTGTGGTGGTGCTCGAAGTCGAGAACGTTCGTGCGAACTTGGGCGACGCAGCAGCATCCGAGAAGCTCATAGCCATAGGTGAGCGTTGTGCTGAACCTGGCTGCGACTTTTGGACACGACCTCCAGCATTCGCAATTCCAGTTGATCGAATTCGGCGGATGACTTTGTCGTTGTTGCCTCCTGGTGATGGCATGGGGGCAGAATACGAGGCGCTCCTCATTGCGCTGGAGTTCAGGTTGACTGGACGTTTCTGTCTTCTCGCAGCGATGCTTGAATGCTGATCTGATTGTTGAAAGCCCTCCGGAGTACCATTTCGGATGTGGATCGCGTCCATGTTGTTGGCCAGGTTGCTGCTTGAAGAGTTTCTTCGGGCAAACGCGTCCTCGCGGAAGTGCAGCGGAATGTCGAGATCAGAGGGCGCAGCACTGAGCTTCCGTGCTTGTTCCGGTGAAGTGAGGATGGCGTGTGCAGACGAGTTTGGCTGTTGGTAGAAGTTCGACTGCGGGTACATTTGGTTTGAGCCATCTTGGGGCCAGAATGGAAGCGTCTGTTCGGAGGCTGATGCCTGAGCAAGACTGTATGGTGCGAATTGATCCTCTGGTTCCTCGACCTGCTTGGGCTGTGCCATTTGCGAGGGATCCTCTGTCCAGCCGGTGTAGACCGAGTTCAAAGAGGCGATGGAGGGAGGTGTAGGTCCATTTGGCGATTGCGTGGTGCCAGATGACTGGGTGCCATTGTATGGGGACGCGTCCGACGAGATGGATCCTGTACTTTGCTGAGCTTCTGCAGATGTAGAGTTGGTGGTGTTGGTCGCAGCAAGTGCCGAGTAGTCTATCTGGAAGTCGGCGAAGTTGTCGAATTCTGGGTGTGAAGGTGCGATGTCGCTGGGCATGGACGCGGGAACCGAAAAGGCGCCTAGGTCGCTAGAGTACGCATTGGGCAGCCCGTTGACACCGTTGTTGTCGTAAGAGAAGTCTTGCTCTTGCGCATTAAGACCCATGCCACTGTTGTGCATGTAGGCACCGTTGGTCGCAGCCATGATTGAGTGCATGAGGTCGTTGGAGCGGTACGAGGCGGAACGGTCGGGCTCCGGGACTGCGTGGAGGGCGTTTTGCATGTCGTATTGTTGTTGCTGCTGCTGTTGATGCTGTTGGTGTTGGTGCTGGTGCGGGTGCTGCAGTATGAGCTGAGGACCCAGGTCGAGGGCTGATGGTCCTTCGCCCGTTTGCACAGGAAGCGTTGCAGGGCTGATGTCAGCGTTCGGATAGTAGTCCGGCTGCATGAGCATATGCGGATGTTGCTGCTCTTGCGGGTGCGCGTAGTGGTTAGACATGACGGGCACGTGCTGGTGTCCAAACGGAAGGCTCATGGTCATGTTGTACTGGTTCATTAGCTTCTTGCGGTCCT